ATTCATTTCTTTTCAACTATTCTCCCTCATTCCCTTTTATTTACCTCCGAGTCTTTTGGCTTTTTCTATTTATGACTCATGATTCTTTTTCTTTCCAACTTCCGACCCCTCCTACCGAGAGCTTTCGATAGGAGACTTTGCTTTCCAGGCCAAAGGATCGCTTATTGTTGCCATTTCACTCTAAGAGATTTAGCATTGATGCTCTACCTTATACTCCCTCGAGTTCTTTTGAACTTTTTTTTTTTGTTTACTCATTTTTTAGCATTCCGCCTACCAATTCCCAAAGAAGGTATTAGAGAAGGTCATTTAAGCTTACCTTAGTCAACTCTTTAGCATGTAAACAAACCACACTTCGCATTCAAGTGGTAGTAAGAAAAGTCATTCAAACATTTTTAACCAATTTAGAACACCACAGAGCATGCTATAAAAGGTATGTGTGCTTAAGTAGTGTAGAGATGATAACCAAGAGTTAGGTGAAATCAAAATTTGAATTAGATATAAGAAATGAAGTACATTGATCTTCATAGATATCCAATTATCATAAAACTAGCATCCTTATTACTAAAATTAAAGCCAAAAAAAAAATTTTAAAAAATAAAAAAAAATTATAAAAATATTCCCTACTACTCCCCCGAACTTATTCAAAGCATTGTCTTCAATGCTTAACAAACATATCACACAAAAACAGAATCAACAAAAACAGTTCACAAAAACAGAAACAGTTTACAACAAAAACTGTGTAGTCACTATCAGGAGTGATATTCTCATTCCTGTGAGTGAAGTAGAAGACTGGTGACTTCCCTGAGTTGGAGCAATTGAAATGGATGAGGAGGGCTTCATGGTGCACATCATTCAACATATATTTTTGATTCGTTGTAAGCTCTAGGTTGTGTTGAAATATACTCCATACAGGGGATCGCAACGTCCTTGTATAACAGCCTGGAATTGTAACATCAGAACACAACAAAGATTCACCAGCTATATGGAAGAGTTCAGAATTTTTATTTTTTTCTGCAGTGTCACTCGCTGGAGTGACTTTGGTCACTCGTGGGAGTGACTCTGCAATCCTTCTTTAGCTGCAAATTTTTTTCTCAAATACCAAGGATTAGAATTGAAACACAAACTAAAGATATCAGAAATTAAGCTCATGAAGTTCCTTGGTTCATACGATTAAGCACATAGACTAGAAAGCAACAATTAGAATCACCATAGTTCCATAAACTGATTCGGCTTTTAAGATCGTAACTCAGAAAGAACTAGGTGACTCATATGGACTCAAACATGCTAATTCTGAAAATTATAACAGAACTTGCTAGATATGGCATCAATGTTCATAAAGATATTAGAAGTTTACCCCAGACTAAAGTCTAGCAAGTACACATTAAGCACACAAAATTTCAGAATTAACAAGCTACTAAGGGATATGACATACAGAAGATGTCTCAATAACCTAGAAGAAAGAAAAATAAAAGAATCACAAGAGGTTTAAAAGAAGTTGATCGCCGTCCCCGGCAACAGCGCCACTTTTGGTGGGTTATCGAAGACCCCAAAATAAATTACCAACTTAAACTGTAGATAGGATAAGTCAGGTCGATCCCACAGAGACGAGTTAAACTTCAAATAACCGGAAAACAAACAAGAATATAAGAGTTGGACAAACAAGGAAGAAAATTGCAGACTCACTAGCCTGAGTGACAAAGTCACTCATGCGAATGGACTCTGTAGAACTAAAGACAAACAGACAACTGAAACCTCACTCACGGGAGTGAGAATTCTGACTCAGGGGACTGACTCAACAAACTGAGATATTCATTCTCTTTTCCCTATGTAATCGAGTGGTAATCTTGCACTCTTTTGGTATGAATTCATGCTCATTCAGGCACTTATATATCTCTAAGTCACTTCCGATTTTTCCTAGAGGTATCTTTATGAACTCAATTAAACTATTTTCTAATGATTAATCAGATCATGAAGTCATTAAGTTTTCAAGCCTTACATGAATGCTTATGCTAACCAAGTATATCTCAATTAGAACCTTGGACTGTTACCTCCAAGTCATAAGTTGAAGCTGAAATCTATCCAAACCAAGTTTATCTTTCCAGATCTCTCCTAGTTCTAGCATGCATTCAATTAGTGATCAAGTAACCGAATGTAGAAAAAATTCCAACTTCAAAACATGTATTCAACAAGTGCATTACAAACTCAAATTACATAGGTTCCAGAGAATGGAATCTGACTAACTATACATACAAACTACAGAAAATATAAGAAAGGAAAGAAAGAAGCGAGAAGAAGTAAATCTGAATGCTGGACAACAGGTTACTCGCCTGAGTGACAGAAGTCACTCAGGCGAGTGAGGCCTGTTATCACTCCTTGCTGCTACTGGGCTTCTTCTTCTTGGAATTTCTTCCTCTCTTCTTCGGATCCTTGTGTCTTGAATCCGGTTTTGACTGGCTTTTTCCCCTTCTTCCAATAGTGGTATCAGCAGTAGCATTGATCAATGTAGGTGGTTGGTTCTTCAGCCAAGGGGACAAGCATGCTCTTAGGTTTCTATGGTGGGACACCCTTATTTACTCCCAATGTGCTTTCTGTCTTGAAGTTACTTTTGATCAGTTCAGCACATTTGAATCCAACAGTCCAATTTTTGTTCCATAAGCCTCTTTTTAGCTAATGTTCACTTAGGTCCTTGTCTAATTAAAAACACAAAACAAGTTAAGTAAAATGAACTAATTATGAGAAACAGCCCTAATTTCTTACTAATTAAAGAGTAAATTGCCATGCTTTTATGTAAGAAATTAACCGTTATCATTATTAGATTATTATAGTCATATCAAATCACACAGAATTTGGACAATGCTCATTTATGCTAATTCTTCCACAACACCCGGTAACTTGGCCAGGACTGTTCATCATTGCTGCATTTTTCCTACTAACTAAATAAACTTAAAAACTAAAATGAATAAATAACTTAAAATTCACCTTACCTAAATAAATAACTTAAATTTTAATGTAACCAGTTACCAATTACTGACTCTCGATCAGTGACAATCAATGTATGTTGCTTTTTACATGATATCCATACCGCGAACAAGTGGTACGTTTTATACAACCTCACTCCTACTATAATGCAAAAATAAATTACCTACAAACGGCATAAAATGACAAATAAAATAAATATAATCTAAATATATCATATCAATGTAATTATGATTTAATCATGTATGATGAAATAATAAATTAACTAAATAAAATTAAAAAAGAATTTTAAAAAAATTAAAAAATATACACGGTCGCTTAAAATACCGGCCCAGGACATATGAGCCCACAAATCTAGCGGCTGGTTTCCAATGGGACGGCTGTATCATCGGCCCCTCTTAATTTGGACGCCAGCTTCGTCAGCCCTCCTACTTTTAATTTTTTTCTCATAATATTCTTTAAATTGTTTAATATTGTTAATGTTTTACTTAACAATAATTATTATTATTTATTAAATTGTGGTGAAATTAAGTTAGTTATTATCAAAAATATTTTTTTATTTATTAAGGTAGTATATTTTATTTTTTAAAATTAGTTAAATAGTAATTAAAATATATTGAATGAAATATTTTTTATATAAAATAGTAGTTAAGTTAGTTAATATATGATTAATAATTAAGTTAATTAATAATTATAGTGTCTAAATCACTTCTTTTAGAATGAAAAAATAAAAAGAGCAGAATTTTCATTTTTACGGCGGTCTTTATCTTTTTCCTGGCGCTTTTAATACGCCTCTTATGATAAAATTTCTAGTCTCTGGTGTATAGGTTCTTTTTGGTGAGGGGATAAACAATCTAGTAAGTTTTTCATATTTAAATATGTTTTTAGGTTTTAGTACATCTATTTTTTGATTTTATTTTGCCCCTGAAAGTCAAAATTATGGCTCCACCATGGCAATTTTTGTATGTTGTATAGATGTTGATCCAAATATCTATATAGTTTTGTATCTAAAATAAGAGTTAATTCGCGTATTTATATTTATTTAAAGTCAAACACGTCATGAGTCATGTAGATAACTAATGAAGATCCTAAAATGCATATTCTTCACATTCGAAATGAATCTTGGAAACCATTATGAAATATAGACATATGTGTTACTCTTACAATCATCTGGAAGATTTGCTGTTATGTTGACTTTTGGAGTCAAACTTAAATTGTTAAAGGTCATTAAAAATACACACATTTCAAAATACCTTTTTCACACAACATAATTCTTCAAATATGTTTTTACATTATGTATCTATGAAACTATTAATTGACTAATCTTGGTTTGAGCAGAGTATACCTTATGAAAGAAAACTCCCCGAATAAATGTTCACCCGTTTATTCTTTGTTTTTATCTCACAGTACCATCCCACTACCGGTCCAATGTAACTACAAAAGTACCATTTTTAAGTATTTTGTACTCCTTTGTTCTAAAACTATTCTGTAGTTTAGATTTTCATTCATAGTACAAATTTTAATAAAAGTGAAATTTTTAACTGAACAATTATTTCGGAACGAGTGAATATTTTTTTTCTAATCTTTTTTATTTTCTATCAAAGCCATTTGTTATCAGTCACTTGTTACTTTTTCTTCTTATTCTTTGAGGTTATATATTTTTCTATGATATCTTTCAAAAATCAAAATAAAGTGTAGGGAAACTATTTTTACTTTTCACTATCAAGTTAACAAATAAAAGTCTGTGAACCTTATTTTAGTACTGCTTTGTGCAATAAATTAACTTTTCCTCTGACGTTGTTAAGATACAAATTGAAACTATTTTCTTTGAATAGAGTATTATTTCAAAATGTTAAAGTAATGAAGTTATTATTATTATTTACTTTTGGTAGAAAGAAGTACGGAAAACATGCCAGAAAGTTTTTTTTTAAAAAAATAAAAATAAAAAAAATGTGAAAAATAATGAAAAATGAAATGGAAAAAGAAAAAAAAAACGAAAAAAGAAGAAAGAGGCTAATAATACCAAACAAGGGATGAATTTGCTTGAAGCTCGTGGTTGGCGTGTGTGTGGCACGGGCAAAGACCGCATCGGAAGCGTCAACGTAACGTGGTGGTAGAGTGCCGGGATGACCTGAAAATCAACTGCTGACATACACACCATCTCTTCCTTCCCATCCCCATCTTTTCTTACTCACTTTTGCAGTTGCTTGCCACACGCCTGACCCCAATTCCCCTCGTTCCTTCTTCTTCCTTTCCTCTTTCACTTCCTCCTTCCCTCCCTCCCTTCTTCTTCATTACCGTCTTCTCCAATCAAATCCCTAATTTCAGAAAATCACTCCTCTGCTTTTTGGGTACACCCTTCTGTGCCCTGCTGCCTCTGTTGTAATTAGAAGGTTAGTTGAGTTTTTATAGATTATACATGTCCTTGAAGCTTCTGTTTTTCCCTGTTGAAAATGTATGATGGGTTGTGCTCTTTTTTTGTATGATGAATGATGGGTTTTGTTTTTTTTATGTCAGTTTGCTTCAAAACTAATTGTTGGTTTGTCTAATTTTCCAGAAGAATTGGATTTTTTTTTGTTTGGGTTTCAATTTGATGTTTTGTCAATCAGTATGTTCAATTGGATTGAGTTTAAAAGAAAACTTCTTTTGCATTAATGATCAAGGAAAGTAAATGCTTTTGATTTCAACTTCATTGGGGGCAAAAGAATGGTTTTAGTTTTTGAAGGGGATCTTTATTTGATTTATTACTTGCTGATCGATATGGCTTCCTATTTTGTCTGAGTTTGGTTTATCTACGGTTTTGCTTTGATTTTTTGACCGTGCCGATTAGGCTTATGGAACCAGATGATACAATTCTTGGTTGCAAGTTTGCTGGTAAGTCTGAACTTTTCTGTTTCTCTTGTGCCATATTGACAGGGATTCTTGCTGAAGCTTTTCGAGTTGTGGGAAATGAGTACAACTTCAGAGGAAAATTCTGGATCAATGTCTGGAAATGTCAGCAAAGGGGTCAAGATACCAGTAAAGGGGTGAGTCCTTTGAGATCCCCTGTTAACTTAACCGTGGTTTCCTATTGGTTTTGAACTCAGAATAGTAAAGAGAGAAAGAAAAACGTTTTTAAAAAAAAGTAAAAAGGAAGGATTCTTGTAATTCAACCAGCCAATTACATGTTCTCAATAAGTAAAGTGCATCAGCTGCTCCGCGTTTATTACTGAGTAGTAGCTTTTGTCGCTTTTGCTGTGATTATGAGTTTGCAAATTCATTGAGGACTTGCAGTATAAAATTTTACTTAATGAAATTATTTCGGATGTTTTATCGTATCTTGGCAAGTAGAACATTTAGTTTGACTGATATGTGTCCACTACTGTTAAGGTTCTGCTACAACTTTTGCGCTGCCTTTGTAACCCGCTCTCTGCCATGAGTTTTGAGACCTTGGCTTGTAATGAATATTCGACTTGGGACGTATAAGCCTAAAAACTCTTGGAAGTTTAATACATGCCATTGGCAACAGTGTCTGTAATGAGAGAGGTTGATTTTCTGCTTTCATTGCTTTGTTTGTTTCTTGATTATCTTATTTACTTTTAGTTTATTATGACTTGGAATTAATAAGTCTGATGAACACTAATAAGTACTAGTTGCTTCGATGGTAGGCCGACATTTGGTTGTTTCTTCAAGTATCTGCTGATGTTTATTTTAACACAGGCCACTAAAGCCTATTTTTTATTATATTTCTGATTTTTTTTTCTATATTTGTTATTGATGTTTAGCCTCTACGCTGGGGTTGTCATTTTTCTTTTTCAAATAAAATATTTTGTTTGACATCTGAACTTTAGGGTAGTTGTTTCTAAATGTCAATGATGGGCATATGATGTTTGTTGGATAGGGATTTTCCCCACAAAATAACAAGTTACATGAGTGGAGCTTATTTAGCTGCTGCCTTTAGCATGCTTGATGCTGTATCTTTATTTCCTAGACCTGCCACCGCCGCTTTGTTGTTTTTCAACACTAAATCGAGTTTGCTTCAGGTCCCAACCTAGCCGGAAGAGTCATGGGAAGGTTCCAAAAAGAGCTCATAAGGCTGAGAGGGAGAAAATGAAGCGAGAGCACCTAAATGATCTCTTTCTCTCATTGGCTAGTGTTCTTGGTAATTTCTTGGTTTCCAAAGTCTTTGCATGGGGTAGTTATCCTTTGTTGTTCTTTAAATAGGAACCACAAAACTAGTTTTGCATCTTTTGTTCCAAGATGATAATAAGTTATGAATTTGATTTCCCAGAACTTTCTGACGAGACCAATGGAAAGGCTTCAATATTGAATGAAGCTTCCAGAATTATGAAGGACATGCTTGCTCAGGTGGAATCTCTAAGAAAGGAAAATGAAGCTTTGTTATCGGAGTCTCAATATGTAAGTTTGTAGCATTTCCAACTGTTTTGTAGTCCACCAAAATCAATCATCAAGCAGTTCTCTGTTGAAAGCTGATATAAAAAACCACTCAACAGGTAGACGTGGAGAAAAAGGAGCTGCAGGATGACACTGCTTCTTTGGCGTCTCAAATTGCAGAGCTGCAAAAGGAGCTAAAAGACAGAGCAAGTGAAGCTGTGCTTGACTTGAACACGGCTCCTCCGGAATGTCAACGTCATGGCTTGACTCCCCACCCTTATCCCGCCATAGAACTGGCTATGCAGCAAGCAGATAACCTTAAATCTGTCTATGTCTTCCCAATGTGTACTGATCCAACTATCTTCCCAACATCGGGAAATTTAGAGATGATGCCGAGACCTTTGACAACTGTGAGCAAACCGCAACCAAGGTACCCAACTCCTGCTGATAAATGGCCATCCCAACTCCTTGAAAACCATCACCAATATTTGGGCTGAGAATGTGATCGTTGTGTTAGCCGCACTAGTTGTTTTGCAGGCATCATGGCGATGTAATTCAAATAGGTTCTGCGCTAGTTCTCTTTACCAAGGGCTATGTAAAAATATCAGAGCCTCTTTGGCTTGAGCTGAATTCTCTTGCATTGGAGGAATAGATCATTGAATTCTAGTTCTTGTAATTAGTGATGGAAAATTTCTAAATTAGGTTCCAGAGGGGTTTCTAACATTAGTTTAGGACTCTCTTTAATTCATGTTTATATAATATTATGATGATAGGATCTCAATGTTAATTTATAATCCAAGTGCCTTTTTGAAATAAAAAAATCTAACACTAATGTTCCGTTTCAATTAGTTGGCCGATTCAACCAACCAATACCAATGATCAACAACTTCTTGTGTTAAAGCAATTTTTAAGGGAATATGGACGGGGTTTACATCCCAACATTTATATTCAACTTACAATCATCCCAAAGTTCAAAAATTAGTTATTTATGTTCAATATAATTTAAATTGGGCAAATCATCTCATGACCTACAAAACAATAAAAATGAGTTAGTATAATATGCATGAATCATGTAGATCCAATATTCATTCTTTTACTCATATTTATAATTTTTTCAAAATTTCTATAGTTTATTGAAGAACAAGCTAGATTAATAAATTAAAAAATTGGAATAACATAATTAATCTATATATATTAATACAGGATGAAAATAGCTTACTTGGCATAAAACTGGAAGCTCACTTAAGTTGGAAGTAAAAAAGAAAAAATTAATCGAGATTACCGTGTACCTTAAACGTAGAAAATAACTTTATTTTAACTTTCTGCAACAAACTTTTAAAATAAGTAATTTGATAATAAAAATTCAAATAGAGTCCAAATTATCTTAGATTCCTCATATGCTAAATCTTATACGAGATTTGTTAAATATTGTTCTATTTAAACTCTATGACAGTAAACAGTTCAACAATCAGGTATGTCTCTCTGTTTCATTTTCCTTTAAAGATTTTGTTCCTTTCTTATAAGTTTTTTTTTATTCACCACGTTGTTTTCATACAGTTTTTTTTTTTTTTTTATCCAATACGGGTTTATGTTCAATGCTGGCACTCTCAATGGATGTGGAGTACCTGTAGTGCCAGAAAATATTACTAGTGATTACAGTGAAATCCATTATGAAAAAAAAATGAAGTGTCCAAGGGATCAAGAATCCATGCGATTTGGTACTCATTGAAAGAAAGAGTTTCGAAAGGAGTAATCTGGGTTATGGAAATTGAAGAACAAACTTGGAGATGATTTTGCCCTAAAGTTCCCTCAACAGAAACCCATCATCTCAGAACTATTGAAAATTCAGTTTGAAAAGATGCAATCTTTCGACTCTGGTATGCCTCCAGTTTGGATTTTGGAGCTCTATTTGGTGTTACTTTGGATCTAAATTTTTTCAATAGAATAGTATCACGCCTTTAATAGCTGGATTTTAAGAAAATGTGGAAGCATATGTATGCTAAACCTCACGCTTCCTGATTGGTTGCGGCCTGCAAGACAATATTGCCAGTTAACAGAATTTATTTTTCTTTATATTTTACTCTATATATTCACCTTTCTCATATCATAAAGATAAAATAGACAACGAAAAATATTCATCTTACAAATTTTCTGACATAAAAATAAGAGTAAAAAATTCAAATGCAAAGATTAAAATTACAGTATAAATGTTCGGTTATTACTTGAGAAGTTTTAGCTTATACTACATTGTTTTGGGGAACTTTGGATATCTTTTTAGGACTAAATGAGTATATATAAATGCATATTTCAACACAATTACTCTTACATTTTTTGATAATCTTTATTTTATACAAATAATGAAGAAAATATTTTACAACCCACACAAAGTGCGGGTCACCCACTAGTTGTTAATGACGCTAATTGTTTTTTTATAAGTTTTATTAATCTTAATTTGTTGATGATAGTCAAAATAATTCTCAAATTTCTTTCCTTTTATTATTGGGTTAAAAAAATGGAACGATTAACACACATATACACCTATATATCTTTGGATTCGATAACTAATTAATTTCGAGTTTATTCTAAATTGAGAGTCATTGAAGTTGTTATAAATCATTTTTTTAGTTATTAATTAAGTATTTATGAGATTTTGTTTTTTGGTTTCATTTAGAAACTTTGCTTGTTTTTTAAGAAAACAAAAAGACAAAAACAAGAATTAAAAAAGAGAAAAAAAGAATAAATATAAGATCCAATAGAATTTTACATGTTATATTAGGTCATTTTTATTGTTTTACAGGTCATGAGATAAATTTGTCCAATTTTGATAACATTGTTACTATTCCTGACGAATGTCTTTAATATGTTAGGACTTCTTCCGATCCATATTAAGACATTTTGATTTCTCTTAAATTCTATTTATTGTGTTTCCCAATTGAAATGAAACTTTAAACATACTGTACAATAAACTTTTGGATATTTCTTTTGGTAATTACAACACGTCCTAATTATCTACACTATTCTTAAACATTTGAAATTGAAATGTAAACTAATTGTTTTAATTTTAATTGACTGAGTGAAAGTTGCGTACAATCTACCGGTATCTATAATTAATTATCGGGTATACTCAAGTAATTGGATTCTATTAATTGTATATTATGATACAAATGTGTTATATATATAGTACAACATAACCCTATTCTAGAAGGTTCTAGAATTTACATTGACACGCCCCCTCAAACTAAAGACGGTACAGGTAGCAGGCGAAGTTTGTCAAGGAAATGTTGAAATAAAGGTTTGGCCAAGGGCTTTGCATAATATAGGCAAGCTGATTAGCGGAAGAAAGAGAGTGCACAGAGACAAAGCCATTCTTGATATGCTGGCTGACAAAGTGAAAGTCAACCTCAACATGACGAGTGCGAGCGCGAAAAACCGGATGTGAAGCAAGAAACACAGTATCACACCAAATAGAAGGGGGCTGATGAAGCGACACACCAAGCTCGGAAAGAAGCTGACATATCCAGTGAAGCTCCTCGCAGACATTAACAATAGAGCGAAACCAGCTTCAGTAGAAGAGGAGGCAACAGTAGGTTGCTTGCGAGAAACCCAAGAAAGCAAATTATGCCCAAAATAGATGAGGAATCTAGATGTAGAACGTCGATCATCGGGACAGCCAGCCGAATCAGTATCAGTAAAGGCAGTAATGGACCGAGAAGGATGAGATGAGAGAAAAAGACCACAATCCACCGAGCCTTTTAAGGACCGAAGAACACGCTTGAGGGCCTGAAAGTGATGTGCAGTCGGACGATGCATGAACTGACATAGGTGATTAACAGCAAAGCAAATATCAGGACGAGTGAGAGTAGCATACTACAAACTGCCACACAACCGGCGATAAAGAGATGTGTCAGCATCAGACAACAAGGAACCATCATCCCAAGAAAGCAAGGGACAAGCCGCCATAGGGGTAGAGCAAGGCTTGCAAGAAGCCATGTTAGCCAAACAGAGCACATCACCGAGGTAGCAACGCTGAGACAACACAATACCATTAGAACTAGGTTGTGACGCTAGAAAGACCTCAACACCCAAAAAGTAACTCAACTTGCCGAAACCTTGAATAGCAAACTCCTGACCAATAGAAGACACAACAGAGCAAACAAAGGAAGCTTGACTGCCAGTAATAATAAGATCATCAACATAAACTAAAATAAAATATGCACAGCCACCTTTGGAGTAAATAAACAAGGAAGGGTCACACCGAGACTCGACAAAGCCAAGAGTGGAAAGGAAAGCAATAATACATGCAAACCATGCACGAGGAGCCTGTTTAAGACCATACAGAGACTTGGATAATTTGCATACATAGTGAGGGCGGTGAGGATCCACAAAACTCTGTGGCTGAACCATATAAATAGTCTCATTGAGAGTGCCATTAAGAAAGGAATTACTAACATCCAGTTGAGACAACGTCCAACCACGAGCAACTGCAACAGATAAAATAGTCCGAATAGTGACCGATTTGACTACATGATTGAAGGTATCAGTGTAGTCTTGGCCAAAGGACTGAGTAAACCCCTTGGCAACCAACCGCGCCTTGTACCAATCAAAGGAACCATTAACATTAGTTTTAACCTTATACAACCATCTATTGCTAACAACATTAGCAGACAGTGAGGGAGGAACCAGCGTCCACGTGCCATTCTGATGGAGAGCACGAATCTCATTGAGCATTGCCTCTTGCCACATAGGATCAGTATGGGCTTGAGTAAAAGAAGTAGGAGCAACAGGAAGGATTGAAAAAACAGAGGAAAGATTAGCAGAAGGATCAAAAATTCTTTTTGGCTTGGGATTAGTACGAAGGGTCATTGAATGAGGGCGAGGAGGAGAAGGTGGTGGTAAAGGAGGAGGTTTTGATGACCCAAATACGGATGCGGATGACGGTGAATCAGAAGAAGATGCAGAAGAAAAACCAGTGGAAGGAGATACTGGAGGAGTAGCAGGAGGAGACTCAGCAGTGCGAATGGGATGATACATAAGGTCAGGAACAGATTGAGAGGAAACACTAGTAGAGGAAATAGGGGGGACAACTATAGGAGAAGAAGACGGAACGGGAGGAGATGGAGTGGCTAAAGTGAGCTGGATTAGAGAAGGGATGGGAGCAGTAGCGAACAATGAAGGTGAAGGAGAGGTGCTAGGTTTATGAGTAGTGGCAAACGGAAACTTGAGTTCATCAAACTGAACATGACGAGATACGTAAAGGTGGTTAGAAGAAGGGTCTAGGCACCGATACCTAAGGTGACTAGGGGAGTAGCCCAAAAAGACACAAGCAGTGGAACGGAAGGAGAATTTATGCTTATTGTAGGGACGAAGAAGAGGATAAACAACACACCCAAAGACTCGAAGGAAGGAGTAATGAGGAGGTTGCTGATAGAGCACAGTTAAGGGCAAGCGATTATTGAGGGAGGAAGATGGGAGTCGATTAATTAAAAAAATGGCTGTTTCGAAGGCAAATTCCCAAAACGTAAAAGGAGAACTAGAGTGATCAAGTAACGCAAGATCAATATCAACTATCTGTCGGATTTTGTGTTCAGCAGTACCATTTTATTCATGGGTGTGAGGGCATGCAAGACTATGAGCAATGCCATGAATTTTAAAGAATGTGTGAAGATTATGAAACTCACCACCCCAATCAGAAATAAAACTCTTAATGGAAGTTCGAAAGTGATTCTCAACTAAATTTTTGAATTGAAGAAAGACAGAAAATACATCACTCTTGTTCTTGATAGGGAAGATCCAAGTGAAGAGGGAATAAGCACCAATAAAAATAACAAAATATCGAAAACCATTAAATGATAAAAGGGGTGCAGATCCCCAAACATCTGAGTGAATTAAATCTAAAGGTTTATTGCTGCGATGTAGTGTTAAAGGAAGGGACATACGATGCATTTTTCCTAAGCAGCAAGCATGACAACGTTCAGAAGATAATTTAAAAGAACTACAAGGTAATTGAAATTGACGAACAAGACTCCTAACGATAGAGTAATTGGGATGACCTAAGCAGGCATGCCACCGTTCAACACTAGCAAGAAAAGCGGCAGGGGAAGATTCTGCACACGAGGAAGCTCCAAATTTGTAAAGGCTAGACTCAGTTCCCCCTCAAAGAAGTATCTGCTGAGTATTGAGACCTTGACAGAACAAGAGAAATGGTGAAATTCAAGAGAACAATGATTATCACGACATAATTTTTGAATAGAAAGAAGAGGTTTAGTTAACCCCGGAACATGAAGAATATTTTTTAAATGTAAAGGCTTAGCAGAAGTGGGAATAACAGAATGACCAATGTGAGCAATAGGAAGGGAGTTACCATTACCAACATGGAGCTCATCATTACCATGATACTGATTAGCAATGGTTAAAGAGGAGAGATCTGGGGTCGCATGGTGAGTTGTCCCTGAATCTGGAAACTAGGGAATGGCGGAACCCGAAGTAGTGTGCATATAATGCGCCTGCGCCGGTGAAGGAAGAAGACTATCAGCAGGGGCAGTAGATGGTGGTGCCTGAGTAGTAAAATCAGAATCAAAGTGGCGGCAACAAGTGGCGGCGGAGTGATTGGGAATATGACATATCTGGTAGACAGTTCCTGGAAGTACAACTAGAGAAGTAGTGTAACCACGACGCCCACCGCGACCGCGACCGCGAAAACCACCGTTGACAAGATCCAGGAAAGCAGTAGCTGTTCTTTCTTATTCCAAACAATGAAGTCGGGATTGGGAACTTCCTACTAAGTAACTGGATCTTGGATAGTTGATGGGGGAGCGGGAAGAGAGCCGTCGAGAATGGACTGTAGATTTATCATGAGCAAGAGAGGTGCAAATTGCAGCTTCCAATTAGCATAACTGGCACGCGATGAAAGTTTAATAGCAAAAAAAAAGGGTTGATGTTTGATGGGCTAGCCGAGAAGGAGAAGAGAGAGGGGGGCTGCCGTCGTGATGAGCAAGGCCGAAGTAGTGGTGGTGGTGGCCGTGGTAGAAGTAGATGAAAGGATAGAAGAAGACATGGCTCTGCGACTTGAAGATTGAGGCAATTGCACGAACCACAAACCTCCAGGATTGATTTGCACAAACCAAAAGTTATAGGACTAGTTTGCACAAAATAAGAAGTAGAGAGATTGATTTTGAAATTCCACAAAGTATAAAGGCTGAAACTGCAAAAATAGAATAGTTGCCAATTTTTGGCTAAAAGAGAGGGCCGCCGGCGTCGATAGCAGGGAAGGAAAAAAAAGAGACTGGCTGAAGAGAGAAAAGAAGAAAAAGAGAGTAGGGTTTTTTTACGTGGCTGATCCCAACTCAAATAATTGGATTATATTAATTGTATATTATGATACAAAAGTATTATAGATATCGTATAACATAACCCTATTTTAGAAGGTTTTAGAATTTACATTGACAGACATTCATAGATTTTTACCTAAATATCGGCAATTTGAATTCTGTGAATTGTTATATTTATCAACTTATTATATTTTTCTTCGAAATAATTGTCCAGTTTAAAGTTTTGGGACAGAGAGATGTACTCTTTCTGTCTCAAAATTATTGTCCAGTTTGAAATTTTATTTTTAATATAATTTAAACTAGAAATAAAATCTAAATTGGACAATAATTATTAGACGAAAGAGAGTACTAAAAGTGAGACAATCATTTTGCAACACTTTTTTTTGTGGGGGAACAGATGGAGTACGTGAGATTAGTAACTATTGTTTATTGCAGTGCAATTTGTTATTCCAACCTAATGACATGATTTTAGCACAAATTGCACGAGTTGCCAGCACGTTTAATCAACTCCCCCAAGGAAAGAATTTTCATCCCATTTAGTGGTGTTCTAAATACTGTATTCATTTTAATATATATGGCTCGATCTCGAGCTCTCGAGCCAATAAAATTTCAGCTCAAATCTCAAATTTTTATTTTTTAAAAAAATTCTTATTCTTCTTTTTCAAATTTCGATTAGCTTTTCTACTTTAGATTTTATACTTTAAAAAACTGATGCAAGAATTTAGGAAGGAAAAGTAACAACCGTATTTGAAGACAAAAACTCCATTTGAAGGTTCCTTCAGTCTTCAATCACCGGTCAGCTATTGATACTCTCATTATTATTGTATTTAACACAGACCAACCAAGAAATCCTCTACCTCAATTAACAGTTTAACACGATCTAATTCATTTAACCCAAAAAAAAACCAAAACCAAATCAAGCAAATCATATATCCAATCACAGAGGGAATTTCCTTTGAGTGGTGGCCGGAAGAGATGATTGGATGGAGGAGCAGCAGTTGACAACAGAGAGAAAGGAACGAGATGGCGAGAGCAGAGTGGGCGAATTACAGTAGTAATAATGGCAGCGGTACTTATGGGAGAGGCAAATGGTGTTCTTACAAGCGAACTACGCTTATCGTTTGTTCAGTCAACATCGTTGTTGCCCTCTTCGTTCTCCGCTCGCTATATAACTCGCTTTATTTGTACCCTTACTATGATTCAACAGGTAAGCTTTTTCAGTTTCCAATTTAATCTTGAATTTCCAAGTACCTATTTGGTTGTTTTTGGAATTTGGAGTAATGGGTTTATGGTGAATTGCCTATAGCTTTCAGGTATACACCGGATCAGATTAGGAAAATGGAAGAATCAATTAGAATACGGAGGGAATCCGAACCCGCAGAGCTTATCAAATTGGTAACATCCTTTTTGAATTTTGGGCGTTTTTACAATTGGTCATAATTTGTATTGTTGTTATTCCGGTATAGTTATGAGTTTTGTTCTTAGTGCATCGCTTGATAGGTGGCTTTTCGGCCTCTTTTTGGTTGGATTAAGGTAGAAAAATTGAAGAGGGAGATTTTGCAAGAGGAAATGGCGGTGGAGGTGCCAGAGTCCTTAAAACGAAAGATAACAGATGAGCTACTTATAAGATTAAGTGCCTTAAATGCTAGTTCAGACTCAACAGCTCGACGAGGTTGGTGAATTCGTTCTTTGAGTTGATAGTTCTTTGTGTTATTGTCCTTTTTAACTGCCTTGAAGATGTGCGTTGCTTCTTTTTGTCAGTCTCAGTGGAAAAGTAGCTTCTTTTATGATATGTTTTATGCATTAAAGTTTAATTATTTTGAATATGGTAGTGAAGCTAAATTTATATTATCAAGGATATAAATGAGAACTAAGATGAACTATTCCTAACTTTCTTTTCTGCTATCTTTGGGTGCTTTGGGAACTCCAAGTTAGAAACTTTTGAGAAGCTTGTGTTTAGTTGTTTGCAAATGACATGTTTGAACGAAAATCGTGGCATAAAGGTACAATGATCAGGAAGGTTACTACATGATTAAGTTCTAAAAGGAACTTGTGGTGCTTACAAAATTTGGATTAGGTGACGAATTAGCAAGCAAGTTGGGTTTAGAGTGTAGAGCTACAGACCAGGGGGCAGTATGTAGATTGAGAAGCTGCGAGGTTCACTGATGGGATTCAGATTTGGATGGATTGATAGAATCTGAATTGGAAAGGGCTTCAAGAATCCATTTTTGATGATTATTGTAGGGCATGATTCAAGTGTTGTTTGATCTCAATGTAATTCTTACATTCTTTCTCTGCACGTACACATGAGATGTACCAATTAAACATGTTCACGTTGAGACTCTCCTGCTCTTCGACTAGTGCTTTAAGTTTGGGTTTTCTGCACTATTCTCAAATGTTTTTTATATGGCTGCTCATGTAGATTAAAGAAGTTAAGATGCAACTGATTTTCTTATATATGTAGGCCTAAAATATTCCTCAGATGCTGTATCCTATTTTAAATTAATATGGGTTTCTTCTGACTGGAGGTCGTGCAGATTACTGTAATAAGTTATTTTCAGAGGTTTCTATCTGACAGATTTGGTATGAACTGGTTGATGCTAAGTTCTATTTATTCTGATATGTCGTGTGGTTTTATGTATGCCTCTTTGTGAATGACATGTTCAGTGTGTTCATATCTCTTGTTAAAGCACTCGATCAAGGCTGTTTAGCAGTATTTCCCTGATATTAAACCAGCATGAAAAATGTTCTCCGATTGATTTTTATACTTGGCGTTGTGAAGTTACTGGTTACTGTTTTGAAGAGGATCAAGAACAATAAATTTATTGAGGATACATTTCACAACATTCAAGTCTTGTACCTTATGGTTGTATTTGGCAATGGCATGAGTGACTTGTCATTACTCATGATGACTGATTTCTGCTGGAAGTGTTCAATATGGCTAGTTTGCATCTTGAATACTGAGTTGATCTTTTTTGAAGCATGATTGTTGTTGACATGCATCTTTCTTCATTTTTTGTATTAAATTCTTAGATTCACTGAGTGATTGCTGTGTATATCTCGCAGAGGTAGTTGAAAGCTGGCGCAGTGTTAAATTAAGTGAGGTGCAATCAGTACTCCAGAGAAAGGCTACAAATTCAACTTTTCCACCTGAAGAAGCTGGTATATCCTCTTTTGCATTATATCATTGTGAATGATTTTTTGTTTTTGGTCATCGGGAAATTAATAGACATAAATTGCATACTGCTGTCGTTTTCGATAGCTGTTTCTTTTGTGGCCCAAACTTCATTAGCGGTTTTGCTAAATGCTCCAAATTTGTGTAACTTTTAAACCCTACTTTTGGCAATCTTGTTCTCAACAATTATCTCATGGAAAACATAATTTAGCTTCCATTTCTTTTTCGTTTTGGTTGAAATCATGAATTTTGAATCTCAAAATTTGCAGTATTTTTCTACTACTTAATCTTGTTTCCCCCTGAATATATTAACTTCTTTTTTGGGCTCCTCCCAGTTGAAATAGAAGAATATCTTAGTGCATAAATGGTTCAACCTTACTCTATTTTAATCTGGTTATACAAAATCCTGGTGCTTAATATTTCTGAAAATGCTTGATAGGCCTGCTCGCGAGAGCTCTGGGACCAGGTTGGGCCGAGTTCTCAGAAGGAATTGGCCTTTGGATACCACTTCAGGTCACCCATGAAGAGCATGATGACAAACCTGAGGGCGTAGAAGAATTTGGTAATCAAAATTCCCTTTATTTCTGATCATTATTTATGTGTTCCTTTTTTATTTTCCCCTTGTCTTTTACTTCAAGCTGAAGAGTCAACCACCGCGGGGGGTTGGGATGGGGGTTTAGAATGTTAGGCAGTTTATAGATGTGGTGCTGAGGTCACACATCTCTAAATAAGTCTGCCCATTCGAGTAGTCTTCTTGGAAAGGGTTGTAAACCTTTTCTTAGTGACAGTCTCTTCATAGTAGGAGTTGAATGTTGCACTAGCTTACTAGCTCTGGTAGTAAGGCTCGTTGGTCAATAATTCCCCCGGGAACAGCTTCCTCACTTTTCATTTTGTTCCTCGAAAATCTATTTTTCCCATATACTATTTTGTCCCCAGTGGAGCTGTAGGATTTAGGGCCCATTTGTTGATTGGAGAACGATGTGACTGAAATTAACCAGAAAATAACCTCTCTAAGCACTATTTAGAGTGTGATTTGTCAGCAAACACATATCTTGATTCTGATGTTCGCTAATGTGCCAAGACCTTTGTGATCGATGTATGTCAGAAAAAGAAAAACATGCAAATCTAGGAGATTAAACTTCCTCTAGTCTGATAGTTTAATACCCTTGCTAATAAATCTCGCTAAAGATATACTTTGCTTTTGTTTTCCAAGCACTCCTAGTTATGGGATAGAATTATCTTTGCAGACCGTGAAATTTTACCTGGAAAGCGGCTTCCACCGGAATGCCATGCTGAACTTCATACGGATTACGATGGTGTTGCAGTAAGATGGGGTCTTACCCATCACAAAGAATCTGCGTATGAATGTTGCATGGCTTGTTTAGATCAAGCAAAAAATGCTAGGCCGGACGAAAAAAAATGCAACATATGGGTGTATTGTCCATCTGAGACTGGTTGCTTCTCGCCAGACATTTATGAGCATAAAAACCAGGAGTGTTGGCTTAAATATGTAAGTTTTCACCTATTGTCATCGTGTTTTATCTTTAGGGAAGTTTATATTTGGAATCAACTTCTAATAAATCATGTTCCTTGTGTATTTTTCTGCAGGATGAAAATCCGAAATTGAACTTCAAGGACACCTACTCTGATTCGTACCGAAGTGCCCACCCAAATGCTCCGTTAGTTGTTCCATGGGTTTCAGGTGTAGTTAGTGCATAGATGCCTTTCGCTGGTAATCTATTTAGATATTTTGATAAAAAAAGGTCAAAAGAGTCGAAATGACAATGAAAAAAATGAGATTTGAAACCAAGGTTCGGCAATGGTTGTATCTGATTTGGGCTCAGCTTGGTTTTCATCTTTCCACTTTGTAAGTTAGAAAGTACATTTTCTTTGGAATGGTTTTATTTCCAGAATGAAAACATTTTTTTCTGATTGTGTGATGTCACCTTCTTTTCCTGATGATTTACTAATTGAAACTCGATTAAGAACTCAAAAATCACCATGCTGTTAAAGCATAGCCCGAAAAATGTGGTGCTGCCTCTAAATTAGTCTGACCATTTGAGTAGTGTTCTTGGAAAGGGTTAAATCTCAATGCTAAAGATCTGTTTGAACATTGGGCTAAAATGACATGACAACAATGTGTTGTAGTTTGTATCGATTGAACATTGTGCTAAAGTTCTATGTATTTGGCAAAATATAATTATGAACAACTACTACCGTGCTCGTGCGTTGCCTGACTTTTTAAATTTTTGGTGTTAAATTTCAAATACTATTAATTTTTCATGAAAATTTAATACAGTCCTTCTTAAAAATATAAAATAATATCCTATTTATGATATGGTACATTTTTTAATTCTTTTCCTAATGCTAATTGTTTACGGATGTACTTAGATTTAAAATTATTAACGCGATATTAGTAATTATGTATTTTGAAGATACATTAGTTGAAATGTGCAAATTGTTGCATTGTTTTAAAATTAAATTGAACCGAGTTCACAATACATATCTAATTATTTCAGCCAACAAACATTGAGAAAAAAAAAAGTCTAAATAAACTTGTGGTCACAATTCAAACAAATAAACTCAAGGAAACTAATGCAAAATCATATTTTCTTAAGTATAATGGAGCATGTTTTGGACAACTAGAGAATATTAGTGTATTAATAATTGACACATTTCTCCCATTTTAAATTCTTACGTTATGTCGATGGCAAAATATTAAAATACTGAAATGATTCATATTTATACTATTTATAGTTTTTCTTTTAAATGGATCTTTGCAAGTTAAACATATTTTGGATGAAAAATTCTGTATGAAATCTGAATCCGATTTGGATAGTGAAGCGTAAAGTTTAAACATTAGCATATAGCGTAGTTGTGGTAAGCCAAATTTTTGGCAGTTACATATTTAATTTATTATATTATGACATAATTAACATGAAAGGTTCCCCCAATACACAATGATTTTTCATTTGTCTACGGAAACATAATACTGGGTTTGCCATAAATTTAAAGATTATAATGAGTAGATATAGGAAATGTATGCATAATTGAACATCACAGTCCGAGAACCGTAAGAAACCCAAAAAAGTAGGGCTTTTGTTCAGAACAATAATTTTTGTTCAAGATCTTCAAGCTAGACAGAAAAGAAAAGAAAAATACTTTGAACTTCAAAAACATTGTTTCTCTAAGAAAACTATAACCAAGTAAAAAACACAAAAATGTTGAATTCAATTACCTTGATTTTGTTAATTCTTCATGGATTCAAAAGAAAAAGTAACTTACTTCAGTAGGCTCAGAAGAATACAAAAACGAAAAATCTTTTGAAGAAAGATTTGGAGAGTATGGAAAAAAATAGAAAGAAACTTGAATTAAGTTTATTAATTACTCCCTGCTTTTCACAAAAATAGTCCACATTGAGTTTTAAATTTTGTACTATTTTTAGTACAAATTTGAAAATTCAATGTGAACAATTTTTTTGGGACGGAGGTAGTACTATACATAAGCCAAGCTATAAATCACCAAGACCCATTCTCCTCCATAATTGGCTACCGCTAGCATCCACTTTCCTTTCACAAATACTTCCAATGCTAGTCAAGCTATTTGAAAAAAAAAAAAACTTAAAATTAAACACACATTTGTAAACAAATTAATTTGTCCACAATAAAATGATTTCTACTCCCGACAAGTCCACAACAACAAAAATAAAGAAAAATGCGTGCGTCATAAAATGATGGGTTATTTTGTACATAAAATGATGGGTTTTTCTTTTTCTTTTCTCCACAAAATGCATCTCGTCGACCATAAAATTAATAACAATATAGCATTCCCACAATGCATTATGTCTCTAATCTCAACTGGGACATAACTTCCTCATGCAACAGTATTTTGCTTGACATAGTGTGCTGCAATTCCAAATTAGTATCCAAGTGCGAGCTAACTCAGTGCTGAAATAACATACAAAAGCATTTGTTTATCCATCCAATCAATGCTCAGCCACAACTTTACTCTCTAAGCAAAGCATGATTCCCTTATCCAATCATCCAGCACAACAACAGTAACAACAAACTAATTCATCTAATTGCAGTAATATACGTGGTCTAATACTTTCACTATCAGATAATGATATGATCTACTACAATTTAGTTGCTTCCACTCGATTATCCACCCAAAGAGAACAAAAAAAGGAAGAAGAAGATTCTCATCAAACTAAATTCCAACCTTAATGCTAATATTAAAATTCTTCAATGCAAATAACTACATGAAAGTAACCCAAATTGCACCTGCAATTTATCCCATAAAAAGGTATTGAGGCCAGGCTTATATGTTTAGGCAAAATATTAATTGAGGACGTGCATATTTATGAAAATGAAGGTACATACAAAGTAAAAAAATACCTTCTTTAATTTTTTTTAGACTAAAAAATACACCATAATATTTATCCCATCAAAAAGTTCTACAAATCAATAAGCTGCTTATTGTAATTTTCAAAACACCAAATTAGCAAAAACAAATCTACTTACTCTAATCTAACCCCAATATTTTTAGAGCACTATAAACACAAACATATGATTACTTTGTAAAAAATAAAGAAAAAGAATTTAAAGAAAAAAAACCCTGAAGTTATCGATCATACATCTAGTGGAACCATTCAACTGAGCAAGCAATGGAAATGAGCCTTCTCGCCATCACCATTATCTACAAATCTAAGGAAAACTTGATTGTGAGAGTTTTCTGGAGACTCGAGGGTATCCATCGTATAGTATTTATAGCAAATAGAAAATTTCCTTCTGCCTATTAGGGTTAACGGTAGAAAAACAACACATACTCACAGACTGCTCTTCACGGTGCAAATGAGTGAAGAAGAGGAAGAATTTTTTTTTTCAAACAAAAATGACTTGGAAAATAAACTAATTAAAAAAAACGATGATGACAAGGATTGCTGTTAGGAAGTTGATGTTCAATCTACAATTTTTTACAGCTTGACAAAATGGAAACAAATGTTAGCCCCAAAATCTGTAATAAAAGAGTGACATTTCAATTTCAAGCTTACCAGAGACATTCAGTTGCTAAAAACTATTCAATTGCTCCTAAAGTCAACAATAGCCATTCAGTTGTCGAATTCTTCTCTGCTACTAATACGGCTTCGTTTACTTGTTACCATTTACACACCACGTGCTTTTCCACGTCCTTGCTCTCTTGGTCTGCAGTCATCACTGGAGGAAAGCTCATGATTGCAGGATCCGGGATCTGAATGTTGAATTCCTTTGCTTCAATGATTGGCCCTGGATCTATTCACATCTTCAACGTCCGTCAGCGTATCTACAACATAACCTCCAAATTCTGCACCGAAGATCATCAGACGGTCAAGCTCACCATCCAATTCCTATTCTGTCCCGAGGTCGACAAACTTCCGGTTATTTTTGAAACCCTAGGTCTCGATTACGACGAGAAAGTGCTCCACGACGTCGGTTCCGCACCTCTGACCGCCGCGGTGGGACAGTTCAACGCTGATCAGTTCACCCATCTTATTTGTGAAAAGGCAATCACTCAAGCAAAAGAAGAGGAAGAAAACCTGTTCCATTTTAATGGAGTAATTTGATAGGTTGTTGAAATCCTAAAATTTGAGAATAATTTCAATAATAAATCACTTTTAATATTATTTCGATACACACATATATTACATTTATCTCAACCAATTTTGTTATTATTGTTTTAAATTTTAAGTTTGTTTCAATTATATTTTCAAACAAAAATATCTTGAAAAGAACCCAAACCCTCTTTCTCCCCCTCTTCCTTCGGCCACAATCTCCTCCTCCTTTGACGCCGTTGCCACCTACTTTCTCGTTTGAAGGCCTATTAAACTTCTTGTACCTCTTCTTCACCATGTTCTTTCGGATATTGCAGATAATCTTATTATATATTAAGGAAATTTTTTTTCAAAAGACACATGTCAGTCAATTTAGTTATCAATATTTTGCAGTTACATGTGTCATCTTCTCATTCATAGAGAAATTTATGTAGTCCACATGTCATATTCTATTTAACGGATTTTTTTACTAGGTATTTTATCCAAGTAATATGGTTAATTTAAACATAGTCAAATTATTATTTTCTAAAAAAAGAAAAAACTTCTTTGAATTAGATTTTTTACGTCGACGATCTTCAAATCATCAATTTGATCGGAAAAAATTCTCCGGCCACAAAGATCTCCAGACTCGCCGCTTACAGATTTTATTTATTGTCGGGTCATCTCTGAGTAAATTCATCGGATTGGTACTCGCCAGTGACCATCACTGAAGCTTCTCATCATTGTCGTCACCGCCGACTCGCCGTCCAGATTTACCTAAAGAGAGAATGACACTAATTTATCTACTCGCCGACTCGCTGGTGGCTGCTGGAAAAAGAGAGAATTATACAAATTTACCTAAACTTCTTCTAAACAAAAAATGGACATAAATATTTCTGGCAATAATTTTATTTAGAGTAATTTGTGGACTATTTTTTGTTATAATAGTGGTAATGATGGATGATGGGGAAGATGATGATGGATGATGGTAATAGATGATTGGATTGATGGATGATGATTGGGGAAGATGATGATGGATGATGGTAATAGATGATTCGATTGATGGATGATGATGATTTGCGGCTCTATTTTGTTTTTTTGCGTAGAAAAGCAGAAGAATGAGATCAGCAGCGGCGGCAAAGTGAAGCAGTGTGCGGCCAAGGAAAAAAAATGAGGCTTAGGGTTTATTTATTTATTTATTTTTTGCGTACCAACTCTAAAAAATTTAAATATTAATAATTTTTTTGTCAAAAATAATAAATTACTAATCAATATAGCCAAAAATTCCGATTCATTCTATGGAATGATAGGAAATCCAGATTCCATCCTGCTAATCGGTTTGTTTGAAATTTAAATATCAAATCGAAAAAGATGGAAAAGATTTGACATATC